CTCTTTTTGTTTTTTCTTTTTTGAGACAGAGACTCACTCTGTAGCCCAAGCTGGAGTACAGTGGTGCGATCTTGGCTCACCGCAACCTCTGCCTCCTGGGCTCAAGCGATTCTTGTGCCTTAGCCTCCAAGTAGCTGGGACTACACGCTACATTTTAGTTTTGTTCCCTCACTTTGCTTTTGTGTCCCCTTTTCTCTCTGTCTCCTCTGTCATCTCTCCCTTTACCTCATTTTCAGGGTGTATGTGTCTGTACACTCATACACAGTTCCTGTATCTCATGATGGTAGGGTGGGGTGCCTTTGTCTTTGTCTCTGTAACTTTCTGAATGTTTATGTTTTTTTCTGTTACTGACTCTAATTTTCTCCATTTTTCTCTTTCTCTCCTTCTGTCTCTTTCCAGATAAATGAAATGCTACCTGAAGTTTACTATTGTCTGTTACAGCAACATCCAAAGGACAAACCAAGAAACTAAGTATTCCACAACACAGTCACTGAAACATAAACCCAACCACTGCATTCATAACTCTGAAGGCAGCCCTGCTCTTGACCACATAGATCCTTTATGCTTTTATCATCACAACTTTGGAGAACAACTTCAACTACTGTTTTGAAAAAGTGTTAATGCATTGATTATTAATAGAGATTTGGGGCAAAAAACACTTACCTCTTCATCATTTTTGCCTCCTCCTTACTGGAAATAGAATTGGGACCAGCATTTAACAACAGGTAGAAAAAGGGAATATTCCTGGCTCAGACTTCCCAGATACCATTCAGACAATCTTGAAGAGATTTGGGAAGTCTCAATACCTCACAGTTTTTAGAGTTTTGACAGAGCAGAGACCTATTTTTCAGTGTGAAATCAAGGCCAAATAGCCCGGTAAAGTAGATGATGGTAGAACTTGCATTTCATGTTCCTTCTTTGTGGAAAGGATGAAAAACCATCAGTGATAATTTCCAGTCTCAGTTGCAGGGAGGGGTCTGGACATGAATCAGGTCCTGCTGATGAGAAGCACTTGGAGAGTGGGGAGGCAGAAGAAGAGGGGGTTGTCTTCCTGACAAGCATGCTCTGGCTGTAGGTCGACATGGCTGGTCTCAGCCTTTCCTTTTCTAGGCTCCGACTTTGTGGGTGTGAGGCTTTCAGGGATGCCGCCGCAGCAGTGGGAGCAGCAGCTCCGAAATTCTGAATGCTAGCTAACTGGTGTGACTTTGATGCAGTAGTGGCTGCCTGACTTTAGTTTGTTCCATATGCTTGGGACAGGCCTGCTTTCTACCCATTGTACCAGTCCTCTTCACTCTAAAACCTGCTCTTAGTGGCCCTGCTCTGTTGCCTGCCACTGCTGCCTGGCCCGAGTGGTTCTCTGCACTGTAAAGACAGATTCCAGACGCTGGGAACTCACGCCTCCAGACGCTATGTCCAGCAAAGGCTCTGTAGTTCTGGCCTACAGTGGCGGCCTGCACATCTCCTGCATCCTTGTGTGGCTGAAGGAACAAGGCTATGATGTCATTGCCTACCTGGCCAACACTGGCCAGAAGGAAGACTTCAAGGAAACCAGGAAGGCGGCATTGAAACTTGGGGCCAAAAAGGTGTTCATTGAGGAAGTCAGCAGGGAGTTTTTGGAGTTCATCTGACCAGCCATCCAGTCCAGCACACTGTATGAGGACCACTGCCTCCTGGGCACTTCTCTCACCAGGCCCTGCATCGCCTGCAAACAAGTGGAAATCGCCCACTGGGAGGGGCCAAGTATGTGTCCCGTTGCGCCACGGGAAAGGTGAGCGATCAGGTCCAGTTTGAGCTCACCCGCTACTCACCAGCCCCCCAGATAAAGGTCATTGCTCCCTGGAGGATGCCCGAGTTCAGGTCAAGGGCCGCAGTGACCTGATGGAATACACAAAGCACCATGGGATTCCCATCCTGGTCGCTCCCAAGAACCCGTGGAGCATGGACAAGAACCTCATGCATGTCAGCTAGGAGGCTGGAATCCTGGAGAACCCCAAGAACCAAAAGCCTCCAGGTCTCTACACGAAGACCCAGGACCCGGCCAAAGCCCCCAACACCCCTGACATTCTCGAGATCGAGTTAAAAAAGGGGTCGCCGTGAAGGTGACTGACGTCAAGGATGGCTCCACCTACCAGACCTCCTTGGAGTTCTTCATGTACCCGAAGTCATGGGCAAGCACGGCGTGGGCCGTATTGACATTGTGGGGAATCGCTTCATTGGAATGCAGTCTCAAGGTATCTAGGAGGCCCCAGCAGGCACCATCCTTTACCACACTCGTTTAGATATCGAGGCCTTCACCATGGACTGGGAAGTACACAAAATCAAACAAGGCCTGGGCTTGAAATTTGCTAAGCTGGTGTATACCGGTTTCTGGCACAGAACTGAGTGTGAATTTGTCCACCACTGCATCGCCAAGTCCCAGGAGCCAGTGGAAGGGAAAGTGCAGGGGTCCGTCTTCAAGGGCCAGGTGTACGTCCTCGGCCAGGTGTCCCCACTGTCTCTCTACAATGAGAAGCTGGTGAGCATGAACGTGCAGGGTGATTATGAGCCAATTGATGCCACCGGGTTCATCAACATCAATTCCCTCAGGCTGAAGGAATATCATCGTCTCCAGAGCAAGGTCACTGCCAAATAGCCCCCTGTACAATGAGGAGGTGGGGCCTCCTCAATATGCAGCACCCCTAAGTACAGGTGCTAGTTGTTGTGATAGTTTGTAATTGTGACTTGTTCCTCCCAGCTGGCAGCGTAGTGGGGCTGCCAGGCCCCAGCTTTGTTCTCTGGTCCCCCTGAAGCCTGCAGACGTCATCATTGAAGGGAAGGGTGTGGGGCAGCTGCGGTGGGGAGCTATAAAATGACAAAAGATAACCGCCCCCCCCAAAAAAACAACTGCTCTTAGTTTGGACAGTAAACTTAGTAACCCTATCTCTAATTCTTCCAATAATTTTGTAAGTACCTAATTACCTGCATTTAAATTCTTTCTGTTTGAAACGCCTAGAGTAGTTACTGTTTCCTTTATGGAATGCCAGCTGATGTCAAACACAGACAAAACCAGATGGTGGTTAAAGGTGATAAAGACAGATTTTATTCAGTACTAACTCTCATAATAGAGGAGACTAGCCAACGTAACCTGAGCTCAACTCTGCTGTAACAAAAGGTGGGAGACTTTTTAAATATTGGGGTGTGCTGAAGGAAAAACACTGACGAGTGTGGGGCCTTTGGTCTGTGTCACTAGGCTATCTAGGTTTGCTACTTGGTGCTTATCTGGAGGAGAAACAAACTTCTTGCACAACAGGAGAAGTTGTGCAAGCTGGAGCAACGGGCTGCAGATGTTAGACCCTTACCTTCACACGGAGAGGAAGAGTTATCTCCCTAATGCTTGCATTTCAGAGAGAGGGCTCCCAGGTCCTTGAGGAGACAGTTGTGCGTGGTAAAAGATTTATGTCTCGAGGGCAGAGAAAGGATTTATAATTGCAAGCTTTCGCAGGCATTTTAAGAGGGAGCTGAGGTCATAGTAGGAACAAAATCTTAATCTGCTAGAAGTCATACTAGGGTTTGGTCAAGAACAGAGTCTTTGTCATGAATGTACCTGAGATCATGAGATTTTGCTTGAATTACTTTGGGAATATACCATACCTCACGAGGCATGGTATATAGAACTTGATTTGAGCAGTCATCTTTTTTGAAAATGACTACCAGAGGATCAGTGTGACCCAATTTCCAAGACCAAGAGGCACCTGGAGTGAGAAGTGTTGGTGTACATATTTACAAATATAAAACAGTCTTTTCCTTGTGTATTGCTAGGAATAGCCTTTTCAATTTGTAATAAAAACAGCTGTTCTTTTTTTATTGGGTTTTGAAAAGATATTTACTTTAATCTCTTTTTTCATTTTGAGACGGAGTCTTGCTCTGTCACCCAGGTTGGAGTGCAGTGGTACAATATCGGCTCACTGCAACCCCCACCTCCCTCGTTCAAGCGATTCTCTTACTTTAGCCTCCCACGTAGCTGGGATTACAGGCACGTGCCACCATACCTGGCTGATTTTTGTATTTTTAGTAGTGATGGGGTTTCACCATGTTGGCCAGGCTGATCTCAAACTCCTGGCCTCAAGTGATCCGCCTGCCTCGGCCTCCCAAAGTGTTGGGATTACAGGCGTGAGCCACTGCGCTGGCCTACTTTAATCTTTATCACCTCAATTTCTACTCATCCACATCCATTCCAACCAAGTAGAGAGGCAGTAAAGAATGATTAAAATATTATAGCTTGTGAATATAATGCAGACTGTGTGGGATCTTGTTTGTGACCTGAACTTTGAAAAGGGGCCTAAGGCACTGCTGTTCCTGTGACCAAGCCTCCACATTAAGCTTCCTGGCATTCTTTCTGAGTCTGGCCTGCTGGGGATTGCCAATTCTGTGTGCGTTTCTGATCAACCGTCAATATTTCAAGGCTAAGAATTTTGGGACAGAGGTGATGCATATTCCAAATCTCTAAATCATTTCCACTCAATATGCATTATTATAGGTGGAAGAATTTATTTGTTCTCTGAAAGAGGCACAAAGCACATTTGATTATACCACTTTGCCTGACACTTGATTTATTTTACCAGTAGATCTGTTTTTAAAAATAGAAAGCAAATTATTATGCCTGAGTGACTTCAAAGCCTTCCCATCATTCCAATTAGCAACCATGTTGCTCCCATGGAGGAGAGAGAGGGGCTGAGGGTATGTGGGAGTGAAAAGGAGACAGGTAGGAGGGAAGAAGGAGTCAAAGAAATGACAAGGAAGGGCAAGTTGCCAGGAACTCAATGGTTTGAAATTCTAGCCTGGATGCATTCCTTATTGTAGTTCCTCAACTAAATGAAAGCTTGCTTGTCTTGGAAAGAAAATTAAGACGATTACAGTATGAAGATACCAAGTAAAAGATCAGACACATTCCAAGGTGACTGGACTAGAATCTACAGAAAATATTTTCACAAAACATTTTCCACAGTCAGTCCCTTTGTAAAAACATGATTTGGAGAGAGTGGTATAAACACATAAAAAACACAAGCATTTCAATATTGGTTATTTTCCTCTTTATTTTGATTTTATTTTGAGGAGGCTGGAGAATGAAATAACGTCTTCGGAAACAGCTTAAACAAGTCAGTTCAAGACAATCTCTGGTAAGAACTAAATTGTTTACTACTTTAATTTTCATAAGCTTTCTCACCATTAGTTTCATCTTCATGTATTGTTTTTGTTGGACCAAAAAATTCAAGTATTTTATTTTTCTTTATGCACTTTTGATTTCTGAATTCTTTGTTTCTCTATGTAAGAGAGTAAAATAATCCCCAGACTGAGCCATTCTGCTAAGAACTTGGAATGCCTTGTTTTGACTTCCTGTGCTGAACTCTGTTTTAGTGTTCAGACTAATTTCCTTTGAAGAATGCTCCTCAGGCCCCAGTGCTTTTCCTGAGTTTCTGATGTGTCAAACTTATTTTCTCACTGGACCTTAAGGACTATCTAGGCTTATTGTTAAGAATTACAGATAACCCAGGAATTTGCAAATATAACTGACATATACAAAATGAATCATACTTACTCTTTAGAATTGCATGGCTTATCACCTAATGCATTTTAAGGCACTACTATATTTTCTTCTTTTCTTCCTTTCTCTCTCTGCTTTCCTTCTTTCACTCATATACATAACAGTTACTATCAGCCAGACTGATAGTAGCTGGAGACAGTGAAAGGCAAAGCAGCGTTGAAATATCAGTAGTAAATCTGTAAGCTTTACCAGAAAAAACAAAGGGTGGAATCCATAGACATACCCAGTTACTAAAAATCAGATATCATAGGAAAATGTCATTGGAGATATAGCCCCAGAAACTGTGCTGCAAACAGCCATCGTTTGAAAATGGAGAATATGTCTTTTATGAGGTCTTCTTAGCATAAGAGGGATATTTGTGAATATCATGACTAGAACACATTTTCAGCTAAGTAAAAGGTGACACTTCTTTCTTCCTCCCCTTCTCTCACCACTAACCCCACTAACTTAGTAGCTAACCCCATTAACTTCCTTAAATTTGCCCATTACCACTGACTATGAAGGAAGGTTTTGTCTTAGTTATAATCCCTCAAAAGTGGAACTGGAAAGCAGTACTTGGAGGTGGGTAGTTTATCTGGGGGGATTCCAGGATGCATAAAAGAAGGAGCTAAGAGAGTGAGTGAAGACAGGGAGTATGAACCTAGAACAAACAAAAAGGTCAGAATCTAGTTCAAAGAGAGTGTATTCAAGCCTAAAGGTTGAGAGGGGCCACCCAGGAGCATAGATTCAAGTTGCCCAGGATATACATTTTGGTTAGCAGCCTTTAAAAGCGGGTTTTTAAGGAAAAAGAAGAGGCAGTTCCTAAGTTGTTTACCAAGATTTACATTAAGATTACTAAAGCTATTGGTAGGCTGTACATTGTTCTTTGTATCACATATTCCTGGAATTTGAAGATTGTGGGTGAGACCGTGCATCCTGAAAAAGATGCTTTTAAACAATTGCCTCCAGGCATGGGTTCAGGCGCTGGACTGAACCATGTTTCTTAGTGCCTGGTAAGTTTTGTATACCCCAGGTAGCTCAGACAGCTCTAAGCTATTTTTCTTTTCTCAGGAGAAAAGCCACTTGAGGGTGCATTCATAGAGGTGGGTTACCTATATAGGCAATAGGGTTCTGTCTAGCTGGGGACACGCTCAGGCACTTAGACTTGTTCTGCTGAGGGACAAGGAAATTGTGGTATTTATCCACCTACTCCCTCTCCTCATTGGTTGAGGGTTGCTCCTCGTGTTGAATTCCTAGCATTTCCAGATTGCTTACAAGTATGGATTGAAAGAGCCTTGCTTATAGTAGCTTTGCACCATATTATCAAGAATAGGAACTGCAAAGCACATCCAAAGGAGAAAAAAGTTAAGAGTTTTACACTGCTAGCTGTGCATGCAAGTAGCCTAAGCAATCTCTCACAGGCGAGAGAGAGCCCGCAGGTGGAGAGACAGACAGGGAAGGGTCTTTGAGGTGGGAAGTTACCAACGTGCCCATTGTCCATGACAACTACAGGAACTCAGAGTTGAGGCTGAAGGGATATGGAAGGGAGTGTGGCAACAGCATCTGCTGTGGTTCTTCAAGTCTTTAGATTTTTCACTTGGTGGAACTTGAACTACATTAAGATTGATGCTTCAAAGCCCCTTTAGTGGTTACTCTTGCTGGTAGTAAGTCTGCACATGCTAGGTGAAGTATGCCTTCATATATCGAACACACAGGCTCTAAGTCTGCACTTGCTAGGTGAACTGTGCATTCATATATTGGAACAGTTATAGAGACAACTATAAAAGTTTCCCAGTGTGAGCAGTATGGGGAGGGTCAGGTCTTTATGTCCCAGAGCCCGTCATCACCCTCAGTGCAGTCTGCCAGCATCTTGCTCCTTTAAGAATCTCATTTTCAGACAAGCATACTACAATGGTGAGTGAAATTATTCTCTGTGAAACTGCTTAGAGATTCTTACAGGAACTATTTCCCTGTATTAAAAACAGTGAAAAAAAAAACTTTAAAAAATAATATTTCCTTGGCAGTTACAAACTAATTGACATAACCATATTAACTTCTATATAATCATTATATATATAATAAATATATTTAAAATCACTCGGTTGGATAGGTTTAGCATGAAAATACATTTTAGGGTGGGTAAAATAGGGTGGTCAAAGCTATCATTTACGTCTGAATAGCAATAAGCTGTTAATAGTTCACCCAACCAGTGATAGCAAGATAAAATGTAATTCATAGGCAAAAAAGACAATGCCTGCTGCACAGTTTAGGAGGCTTTACCATAATTAGTGCATAAGAACCGAGATAATGATTTTGTTATTATGAGGGATAAGGTAAACCCAACCAAATTCCAAGATCTGTATGCATTTAGAGAATATTCTCTTTAAAGAGAACGATTTTATGTGCAGTACCCACAGTTGGGCACTTATAAGTAAATGGACATTTTTCAACTCTGTGCTATCTTCTGTATATTCTCTTTATGTACAGGCAGAAATTAATTCAGCAGCTAGTCAAGATCACCAACTACGTGTAGTGGTCTGTGCTACTAAAAATAGTTCTACGGTATTTAATTTACACTGAATATTTGGTATCTGGTGCTGACACAATCTATAACTGGGGAGAATTATGAGGAAGATCTGACAAATTTTTCTTGAAATAGGGTGAGCAGGAGGAATATTTGGTATATTCCTCCTGTGGGATAGTTTATTCTTTTCATGCTTATTTAATGTCTATTATGTACATCATTAAAGATGTAAAGATAATAGAACATGGTACTTTTGTTTGATGACTTTAGTCCCTTGGGGGAGACAAACCTGCAGTTTTTTTGCATCATATTTCCTGTTGCTTGGTGACAAAAACGCATTCTCTTACGTGCCTCTGAGGTTAGACCCAAGTGACTAAAGCCCTTATAAACATTTTCTTGGGTTAAGATTTTAAATTACATTTTCAGAAAGATTTAACCCAAAAACACTACTTTAGTGCGTTTTATTTCTCATCTTTGAAATGAGCGATTGGACTTGCTGCTATTTAAGTTCTCATATAGCTATAAAGAATTCTACATTGCAATATAAATGGGTTAGGGTACAGTGGAAAAGTCTCACAAGAAAAAATAAGTCTCCCAACCTGAAGATCTTCTATGACCACATAAATAATACTATGTACATTAGAGCACTTTTACTCAGGCCTAATGAGAATTTTCTAGGAGTACACAGCTATGAAGTGTCACATTTGAATTATTCACCCGAATGAATCAACCTGAATTTTTAATATTTTAATTTACACCTATATTACACATTCATGTTACTTAGAGAGTTTACACAATTGCATATTGAAACCTGGGGAAAACAAAGGCAGTAGATTTCACTTTATATTTGTCAGATGTAGTGCATTCCTGGCATGCATATGATTAAATAATTTGGGGCAATTGTGCTTTGGATGTAATCAAGAATATAAAACTTGTCAGCGGTAGATGAGCTGTAAGAACTGGCTATGGCAGACCCCTGGGAGAGATAAATGTTTTATTTTGTCGTGTTTGGTATGCAGCATCATTTTGATTTTTATTAGATTAGTCTTTTCTTTTGACTTCTTTTCTTGCAGGCTCTTTCTGAAGGCAACATTATAAGGCTTCAAAAATAGCACAGTGAGCCAAGAGAAACTGCAAAGACACCGCTGTGGGATGGTGATTTGGATATAAAATTCTCTGAGCCAGGTGACATGTTTATGACTAACTCACGTCAGACTTACTCATTTAGTATTGGCACTATTTCAAGTAAAAAAGAATTCTCTTTTTCTAATCTTTCAGAAGATATTATTAATTTAAAAGATAGTTAAAAGGTGCCATGAGGTTGAGGACAAAAGCAGATGGCATATTCCAGTGTATGTTTCTGTCCCCTGACATGGAATGGTCAGTGGAAATCCTGTGATTATTTTTTGCAGGGTGTGATAAGCTGTTGGACCATCTTAGACAACCATCTAGACCCTGGAGCCATTGTAGTTTGGGTAAGAATGCTTAAGTAAGGGGTGGGGGACAGAGAAGGATGTTTTGGGGAGGGGTATCAATATTCTTTCTATGCTTTTGCACCCAAGTACCCGGGAAATCTTCTAAGACTATGTTTATGCAGTACCTTCTATGTGTTAGACCACTGTGCCCTGCACCTTCTTATGTTCTCCTATTTAATCCTTTCAGTGAGTCTTTGAGCAAACTCCTGTCCCTGCAACCGGAATTTCCCCAAGTTTTACCTGTCTGAGGGCAGAGATGAAGTCCTGTTAATACTAACACCCAAATTGCAATGACCCTTTGCCCCTCCCTGTGTGAGAACAGCCCTTCTAGTCCTCCTCCATGCCTGTCTCAGGAGGGTCAGAAGCAAGGCTGCTTCCTTTTTTCCAGGCTGACTCCTGCCTTGCTGTGGTCAGCACTCCTCCTGCTGGAAATGCTTTCTCTGAGCTTTACTGCCAAGTAGATCTTCAATGGGCTGGGAGCTGCCCTTGGACCCCTTTGCCCAAGATCTGAATTGAGGGCAGTGGCAGCATGGGGTGCTGTAAAGGGCAAGAGGGATTCAGTTTAAAGGATGACTGCATTCCATCTCTGTGGAGCCCCTTGAAGTACGCAGCTGATGTACACGGCTTGTGCTACTAATTCCCAGCTCCATCTCCCCTGCCTCCCTCTGCCCCACCAATTATTGCTTGTCAAGCTTCTGTTCCTAACTCCTCGTTTCATAGGGACTCAGGTCATGGGAGGAGACACAGGCCATGCCTCTTTAGTCTGTTCCTCTTCCCTATCCCTTCTTCTTTCAGGCATCCTAGCGCTGTCCTTTCTCCTCTACTTAGCCTTCTTTCTTTAGATCGAAGATCAAAAACTCTCAAGCATTTCAACTCATGCAGTGAACATCTGAAGGGATCACGGATCCACCAGTTCCACAGATTACCATACTCATTCCACAGATGACCCACTTGGGAATCAGCTTGGGAAGCGAGTTAAAAGAGTTCCCGAGCTGTGACGGAAACACAGGGCAGTGACCCCAGAGGGCACCCCACTTTCCAGTGCACAGGGTTAGACATTTCCTTGTTTCTGACTCAGCTCACTTTAGAAAGATGACTTTTGTCATCAAAAACCATTCTCCATACCTAATATTTAATGATTCTGAGGAAAGAAAAATAAGAAGCCTAGAAAACTATTCTGAATTATAATGCTCGAAAACTTCATGTTATTTGAAAATTAATCATATGCAGGGGTACTGAAAGGCATCATACCAAGAAAATGGTACCTACAGAACAATGGAATCTGTCAGGAGAAACTTCCATTTTCATGACACTTTGAAGGAAGCAGTGATTTATTATTTCCAGATATATGATTAATTTTTAAATGTTTTTAATTGTGTGTTTTATGCTTTGTTGAACAATGCACTTTAATCTACACATTGTAATTTGCTGGAACATCTGAGTTTGCTTCACAACTCAACTCTTTTAAGTTTCACGAAGGATACTGTGGTGCCCTGATCTCTGGCCAAGGCTCTATGGTCTGTGCTCTACTCTGCAGCCTATGACAGGTTACAACCACATTTATAGTAGAGAGGCCAAGACCAGCTGCAGTTTCCTTCTCTTCACTCCTTTGAAAATGTTTGCATTGTAACTGCCACTCTTACTCCCACTGTGCTTAATGTCCCTGACAAAATATTAAGGCACCAGAATTAAGACAAAATATTAAGGCACTGTTTAATAGTAGTACAAACTGTAACACCTTATTGATGCTTTTAACTTTTAAAGCACTTTGCTCACATGATCATATTTTATGCTGATAACAATTCTATAGCTCGTAGCTGTGACACATATGGATTTGTTGTGAGTCATGCCCAAAATCCTCTATGTTGTTGGTGTCCTGACTCACAATCCTGAGCTCTTTCATTGGACTCTGCTGACTTTAACAGATATGATCAGAGGCCTTGACAGAATGACTTGGTTAATATTTCTATCATGTTGAAAAGTCATTTAGAAAAAGCTGACAGCAAATTAGTAATTTGTTTTTGCATTTATTAATTAAAAAATATTTTAAAACATGTATTTAGGTCTGTGGATGTATCTAGGAAAAAACAGTAAAAAGAAACCTTTATTCTTATGGAGTTTATATTCTAGCAAGCAGTGATCCATATGCAAGCCAAATAAGTTGGATATATAATATGCAACATGATGATGGTGCCAAGAGAAAAATAGAGCAGGGATGGGGTTTGCAGTAGGCTGTAATTTTAGACAAGGTGCCCAAGGGTGGCCTCACTGAGAAGATGGCATTTGTGTAAAGACTCAAAGGAGAAAGACACAAAGGAGGTTAGGTTTCTATAGTTCATCTGATCTCTTATAATGTTTGAATTGCCTTCATATTTATAATGTCATTTGGACTTCACCAGGGAGAATATTTACAGATGAGAAAAATAAGTGTCGGCCGGGCGTGGTGGCTCACGCCTGTAATCCCAGCACTTTGGGAGGCCGAGACGGGCGGATCACGAGGTCAGGAGATCGAGACCATCCTGGCTAACACGATGAAACCCCGTCTCCACTAAAAAAATACAAAAAACTAGCCGGGCGAGGTGGTGGGCACCTGTAGTCCCAGCTACTCGGGAGGCTGAGGCAGGAGAATGGCGTGAACCTGGGAGGCGGAGCTTGCAGTGAGCTGAGATCCGGCCACTGCACTCCAGCCTGGGCGACAGAGCGAGACTCCGTCTCAAAAAAAAGAAAAAAAAAAGAAAAATAAGTGTCAAGGATTTCCTAAGTTCATGCAGCCGATTAGGGTCCAAGCTGGACATAGAAGTAAAAAAAAATATCCCAACTCTTGTCCCTGTGGTTTCTATTGTTCAAACTCTGCCTCTATAAAACAAGACTGAACATCTTTAGTGGTTTGTAGAAAAATGGGTTTGATATTTTTATAATACAATTAAAAACCCCACTATTTTAATTAAGAATGCAGAAATTAAAGTCTTTTAAGAACTTTTATCACACTTGAGTCATATTCAATTACTCAAATTTGGTATAATTAATTGTTTTAACAACTTTTCATTTTGTCTATTTAAATTCAATTACATAAATTTTATTAAGTACCTGCTACATGAGCCAGAAATTGTTCTGTCCTGTGAACAAAAGAGAAGGCTAAAAAAAGCCTGCATCATCAAATGAGCTCTCAAGGAATTCATTTGAATACTTTTTGTGATCATGACAAGTTAAACCCTTGAGGTCCTCATTCCTGGGGTCTTGGTTCTGGGGATGGCCTATGAGACACAAATAATTTTTATTCCATATCCTCTTCCTAGGTACAAATCTTCAGGAGGTGGGTCCTCTGTTCTGGCTTGTAAAACCTCAGAAATATGGGTGTGGCTAATTGTTCCTGTTAACGTTTTTCTTAAGATCACTGGAAAACAAAATGCATAAAGATGTTCCCCAGCCCCTTTGATGCACATGACAAATAACAGTGCTTTTGGTAAATGAAAAAATTCCTTAATTGATTGCATTTTTAAGAAGGAGAAGAATGAAGAACACAGCTGCAGTTTTCTTTCCATAGTAATGAGCACTTTATGCAGGTTTTTTTTTTTTTTTTTTTTTTTTAAGCTAAGTAAATGGGCAAGTTTTACTGGATTTGCACATTGCTCAGAATTTTGTGGTACCTAACAGGCAGCAACATGGCAATGGTTTTCTAAGTTGCTGGATGGCACTGTATTCAACCTGGCCTCATCACCAGGCCTATGGGGGAACTGTGAACAAACACAGGATGCATCATTAGTCTACCTCCTTGTTGTCAAGGCAGCTGGAAATTGCGTTTTCACCAAGCCCCTTTGAAAAACAACCACTTCATTAGGCAACAGGCATGCTCGTCAACATCAACTGTACATCCTATAGAGTTCTTGAAGCCTCCTAGCTTGCCTTTCTCCCTCCCAAAAAAATAAGCAATTTTCTCTAACTCTGTCCACTGTTGTCCCTGTTTACTGAATTAGAATTGCCAGGTTTGGTAAGTGGCCTCCTGCAAATGTTGCAGCCACAAGTGGTTCTTGTCGCTCAGCTGCTGCGGCTCCCATGGCAACAGACGTGTTTACATTCACAACATTATTCACCTTTTTTTTTTTTTTCTACCTTTGCAATTCAGGAAGAAGAAAAACTGACATGTGAAAAGGGAAGATAGTGCCTTGAAAAGGACAGGAAAGGAAGACGATTTTTAATTAGAAGAATTAATAAAATATTCAATACAGTGGAGCATGTTTGCTTTTAGAGGAAAGCAGTGAAGGCCGGGGCTGGTGGCTTTGTGAAAAGGGCTAAAATATTTTAAAGTCAGGAATAAACAGATCTTACTTCAGGCTTGAATAGAGATAAAATAGTCTATATTAAGAAGGTAAGAAGTGCTCTGAATTCAACTCAAGGAAAGATTATACGTGAAGACAGTGGTTTTCACATTCTCCCATAGAGTTCTTCCTCCCTGATCTTAAGATCTTTGGACTCTATGACTGAGCTGGTGGAAATGAATAGTTTGGTACTGACATGCTTCAAACACTGCAGAGCAGGATGAATGCAGTTTCTCTGTGAAACCCCTTGGTTTCTGACTATGCTCTTCATTGTGTGTTTCCATAACTTACACTTAGGGTGAGATAACTTGTGGTTTGAGGAAAGTCCCGGTTATGCCTTGAGTCTGAAGTGTTTCTACTCATTTGTACCTGGAAATGGAAGCTGCGACCCATTTTTATCCCTGTGAGTGTTCTGTAGCTGATGAGTAGGCCAGTTGCAGGCAACAGAGTGCCATAAAATCATTTTTCTTCATGCAGCTGAACAGGAGCTAAAAAATTTAAAATATGAGTAAGCTATTAAGCTCTACTTAATTCACTCTTTAAGGAGGTGGGTACTGGAGAGGATTCTCTGATTTTCTTGAGTCGAGTGGTGACAGGAAAATGCAGAGATAAGGGGTAGATTGCTGGGGTATAAATCTACCAAGAAAAAATACATCTGACAGACAACTAATATCCAGAATCTATAAGGAACTCAAACAAAGTAGCAAGAAAAAAACCAAACAATCCTATGAGAAAGTGGGCTAAGGACATGAATAGACAATTCTCAAACGAAGATATACAAATGGCCAACAAACAGATGAAAAAATGCTCAACACCACTAATGATCAGGGAAATGCCAATCACAACCACAGTGTGATACCACCTCACTCCTGCAAGGATGGCCATAATAAAAAAAAAAAATAGACGTTGGCATGAATATGGTGATAAGGGAACACTTCTACACTGTTAATGGGAATGTAAACTAGTGTATAACCACTATGGAAAACAGTGTAGAGATTCCCTAAAGAACTAACCATAGAACTACCATTTGATCCAGCAATCCCTCTACTGGGTATTTACCCAGAGGGAAAGAAGTCATTATATGAAAAAGATACTTGCACATGCATGTCTATAGCAGCACAATTCACAATTGTAAAAATATGCTCATCGATCAATGAGTGGATAAACATATTGTTTTATATATATATATACACAATGGAATACTACTCAGCCATAAATAAGAGTGAATTATTGGCATTCGCAGCAACCTGGATGGAACTGCAGACTATAATTCTAAGTGAACTAACTCAGGAATGGAAAACCAAACATCGTATGTTCTCACTTGTAAGTGGGAGTTAAGCGATGAATGTGCAAAGACATAGGAATGATACAATGGATTTTGGGGGCTTAGGGGAGAGGGTGGAAGGGAGGTGAGGGATAAAAGGCTGCAAATTTGGTTCAGTGTATATTGCTTGGGTGATGGGTGCATCAAAATCTCACAGATCATTACTAAAGAACTTACTCATGTAACCAAATACCACCTGTTCCCCAATAACCTATGGAAATAAAAAATTAAAAAAAATAAAGTTAGTAATAAAAATGCAAAGAAAATAATACTTGTAATTGCTGTGTGATGTAATTCCCCTTTGCTGACTTACCAAGCAGTCTTAGTGAAGACCTTGGTATTTTTCAGTGTTTATTTTGGAAGTTGAATTTTTTTTTCAGTTATGTCATTATGGTGATATTGGCAATAAGGTAAACTTTGAGTTTTTCTTATCCATATTAACTGTCAAAACAAATTTCTTGGCATCCCACATTGATAGAACTTACCTTGATTGACTCGGTTTTTCTAGATAATTGTGTAAGTATCTCAAAATCAATCCGTCAGGCTTGAATTTTACACAGTATCCATGCCTTGTTATTTTAGTTTACTGCTTCTCTGTCTCCTTAGAAATGTTTCTATTTCTGAAATCTCAGAGCCATCCCTGAATCCTTCTATCTAAGCTCAACCTATTTCTGTATCAGTCTTCTCCACTTCATTAAAAGGCATCAACATCCTCCTAGTGGTTCCCCTTCCCCAAAGCATCAGCTTTTGTGGTAGGTAACAGATGTCTATAAATTCTTTGTAGTTCCTCTCATCAAAAGGAATAATCTATTTCTCAGCTCCTCAAATCTGGACTAGCTTTGTGATCCTTTGACTAGTAAAATGAAGTGAAAATGATATTGTATGAATTTTAAGCCTAGACCTTTAGAGATCTTGCAGCTTCCATTTTCCCCAATGCAGTGTTTCTCAGCCTTGGCACTATTGCCATTCTGGGCCAGATAATTCTTTGTGGTTGAGGCCTCTTTTTTGTCTTGTAGGATGTTTATCAGCATCCCTGGCCTCTATCACCAGATGCAAGTAGCAAGTACTGCCCGTCCCTTTCCCAAATTATAACAACCAAAATGTCTGTAGACATTGCCAAATATCTCTGGGGAATGGGGGCAAAATTGCCCCAGTTAAGAACCACGGCTCTATTGGAATGCTGCTGCCATGTGAACAAGGCTGGGCTGGGTTGCTGGAAAACAAGAGTAGAGATGAGCAGTCCCAGCGGGGCCCTTCCAGCCTGGCCATCACACCAGCAGGCTACTCAAAGCAGCTGGCTAGTTGCGTGTGGCCTGAGGTTGAATTCAAGTTTGATTTGTTCCAAATGGTTAT